CCGGAACCGACGGCCGGCCGGTTCGGCTGGTTCAAAAAATAATTTTTAAAAAATACTTCCGGCCAAAAAAAAAAAAAAAAAAAATTACCTTGTTGGAGAAGAATCCTTTGCCGAGGCCGTAGAATTTTTTCGACATTCTTTTGGATTTTTTTTGACGCTCGAATCGTTCGTTGAAGTTCGGAAGTTTAGAGAGATAGAAAGTTTAGAGAGATGAAATCAAAAAAAGGGTTAAGGGCAAAAGAGTAATTGGGGGGGGCGGTGACTAGTAAAAGGGGGGCGGTGAATAGCGATTGAGTTGGAAATATTGACAAGGTCACACAGAGCTGCTAGTGATCAATTTGGTAATTTGAATGTGTCAGATAGAGGGGTAGGACAGGTTCTCTTAACTGTCAGTGCTTGCCTGCTACCTGATGAAGCTGTTGCATTTGGTGGTGTAGTGGAGACTGAAGGAAGAATACTCTACAGTTGGCAAGAATGTAATGAAAGAGGTGGAGACAGTATTGAAGCCACACTAAGGGCTGTAAGATGGGGACTGAAGTTGCTACATGAATCTGGCTGTTCTTCCTCCATTTGCTGCAGAGTGGACTCATTTCAGATTACTCAGATTTTAAATCAGAAGAGTGAAGCACACTGGAGAGTTCTTGCTATTGTGGATGATATAAAAAAATGCTACACAAAATTTCACCATTTGTAATTTTTTCTTTGATAAGTTTGCTTGTATTTCTTCATTAGACTTGGCTTTGAAGGCTTGTAAGAGGACCTAATGCAGGTTTCTCGTGGCTAATGGTTAGTCCATTTGTGTGGGTTACTATTGTGCTTGTGCTCATTTGAGTGCTCGATGTAATGACTTTGTTTCCGAGTTTTATATTATGGCTTGTTTATTGTTGGAAAAAAAAAAATTTTGTCAAGGTACTCATGTTTTACATAAAATGTATATAAGAAATGCTATAGGTACATAATATTGCACATAAATGTGTATATACCACTCATATTGAGTAGGACCTATCAAAAATAAAAAATCAAGTGAACCTCACTCCATGCTGAGTATTATGTACACCTCTATGTACATTTATTATGTACTTGTAACATTTTCCAATATATAATATATGAGGGCATTTCAAATTCCAAGATTCAGCTGAGCAACATTTATACAGAAATTTCAAACATATTAGTACAGTATCCAAATCAAAGTCTAATAAATTAAATTGAACCACCACGAACTCCAAATTACAGAAGTTTATTCCAACCAACATACTTTAAACCAAAGAAAAGTTGGGGAAGCAAATAATGACTCCTGGACCTTCTTTTCCAGAGTCCATAAAACCAATATACTTATTTCACATTCAAAAGAGCACAGACTAAAAAAGCTGCACAATAAGAACCAAGTCATTTTTTCTTTCAACCATCAATGAAAATCTACACAGGGCCCAAACCAGGCAGATTTTCCACCTGCTTTGCCTTGTCAGCCGCCTCACGCTTCAAAGCCCGTTTTGCACGTCGGCCAACTGCTGTTTCTTTAGATGGGCCCTCTTTCTTCTTGGGCCCGCGAGACGTGCCTGCAGCAGTGTCCTTGGGCCGGGCTTCCTGCCTCCCAGCCCGAACATACCCATTGTCACCCCATCTCCTGTTCCCAAGGCTAAGGCCTCCGGACCTATCTAAATAAACCTCGTCTAAATCTTCTTCTCCCTCTTCCTCATCTTCCTCATAATAATACTCTTCGCTTTCTTCATACACCAACTCTTGCTCAACCACAATTAGAGGCTTTTTAAACCATGAGGCCCTTAGAAGTAGGTGGACACTCTCCTCAAACATGTAGTCGTGAATGCTATTCCAGAAAACAAAAACAAAAACAAAAACCTTTTTAGTGTATCAAGACTGGAAAAAACAACGAAAGACGAGCCATTCGCGAGGAAAATTGTTCCTTTTCTAGTTAGGTGAATTTTTTCAACCTGTAATTGTTCACAATTGGTCAAGGGTCAAACAGGCCAATTTTATTACCATCAATCGCTCGTGAGGCTATTTTTTGGCAACTTTAGGACAAAATATCATTTAAATTGAGGATTTATAATAGTCCTCGGATGCATTGATTAGGAGGCACAGCATAATACTAAAAAAGGTTAAGTCGGCATCGTGCATTAAGAAAGAAAGAGATAATGAAATACCTTCCATCAAGCGCACGATGAATATTCAAGAACTCAAATGGATTTTTACACTGAGGGCATGTGGCATCTTTTTTATACGAGGCCCATTTCAAAATGCAATTCACACTGAAAAAAATGGAGAGAGAAGAAATAAGCAACTCCAAATTAACAAGAGAGGTATGATATTTAATTTAAAAATAAAAAAATAAAAAAATGTCAGCTTCAGAAACATGAAATTTTCTACCTAAATGCTTGTCAACGGCTAGCAAAATCACCAGTAACCAAGTATATAAACAAAGTAGGCTATCACAATGCATAGGTATGAAGATGGATACGCAAATAGAAAGTATAGATTCAGACAAACCAGTAGGCATGCTCGCAACCTTTTACGAGAGCAGTCTCTTGGAGAACTATCTTATTCCGACATATTGCGCAAATTCCATGGTGACTACTGTTGTCATTACTGTTGGTTTCACATTCAACTTGGTTAATCTCCTTGATAGGTTCTGTACAATTGGCCTTCATTTCATTCTGAAATCCAAAGAACCAACTCAATTTATTAAAAGAAGCATTATCCCCATGAAAGGAAAAA